AGTCTGTTAATGTAAAGACATTTAACTTGGTAATGTAACTCAGAGAGTCGGAAATAACCGCTGACAATGGCAGGTAGGATGGAAGCATCAACCACCAGTTAATAACGTCCTTCCAATTATTGCTCAATTTGTACCCATCTTCTCGGTTGAAGTTATGTCTGTGTTTATATATCTGGATGGGTTCATGAACAAATCTTTGATGGTCGCCCGAAGGTTTGCAGAGTACCTTGGTCTCGGAAAAAACAATGTCGTGTGAGCCCACCGTGTTCAAGCAGCGATCAGCCACGGCATAAGTATTGGTTCTTCCGTGTTTCAAATCTGCCTTGTGTTCGCGAACACGGTCCAAGACATGTCGTTTTGTTTCCCCAATGTAACTGCTACCGCAGACACAACTTGGTTTGTAGACACCAGGGTGTTGCATGTCAGAATCACATTTCACAGATGGGATCAGGTCCCGGATTTTGTGTACTGTGTTGAATCGAACCTGGATCTTGTGTTTGTTCATGATTTTGGAAAACATTTTGGTAACACCAGCCATGTATGGCAAGGTGATGGTTTTGATTGGGTCCTCAGATGGTTCTCTACCCATGTATATTTTTTTCTCTGCATCTTTTTTTTTTTCCTCAGAATCCAGACGCAGGTCAAGAAGTCTTCAAAACATCCTACGTGGAGTCAAAGGGACAAGGTCCTAAAGACAAAGCAAGAACGCAAGGCACGGAGGAGGCGTTGGGGAAAAGAAATTCTACAGCGGAGGAATCGGTCGAAGCGACGGATGACGACAAAGTGGTTCCTCAAAAAGTTGACCATAATGATCCAGCTGAATCCTGCAGCATTGATGACGCAACCGAAGAAGGCACCGTTGATTTAGCGGAGAAGGGAAAGGGTCAGGGAGCAGGTGGTACTAGTGTTGAGAATTTTGAGAGTAAAGCAAAAGTGGTGAAGAAATACGTGGAAGCAAGTGATTCAGAGTCTATGAGTGATTTTGAACATGGGGTAATTGTACACTATGATGAAAACGAGACGGCCAGTAATCCACTGAGTGATCGAGAGGAATATGAGGAGCTGGATAATTATGATGATGACGATGATGATGGTGATTATGAAGCTGGGGAAGTTGTGCAGCTCGAGGATGAAGGAGAGTAGAGAGTAAATATGCTACATCTCTTGGTGGGTTTATCCAAAATATCTACTGCTAACAGAAATGGAACAATTTGGAATCGATCTTGATTTGAAACTTTCGTGACTGCAGGAATCCATACTCTTTGCTTCTTTCGGTAAAATAACGTAGGTAGAAAAATAAAATTAAACAAAAAAATATATCACGCCGTTTTGATCACAACACAAGTGGTCGTCCTCAGGCGAAAAATAATAATCCAGCAGTGGAACTTACATACGTGGAGAACCGCAGTGCGCACAGGTGCTTCTCAGCGTCTCCAATTAATTAGTGCCCCCCACGCACCTCTCCCCACCCGTGAGTGCCAGCACCACACAGCACAGCTGGTAAACAAACAGCTGCAGGCCGCGGTGCGCTCCCTGCCACCACAGAACACATCTGATCAGTCTCTCCTCATTACACGAACATTTGGTCGTTTTGCGAACAAATTAGTCTGAATTGAAATTGCTCGTTTTGGCGAATTCTCACGTAGAAAGAAGGCTCGTTAAGCAAGACGTGCCATGATATTTCAGCAAACTTCAACATCATTCATAGTACGAATTATCAGCAATTGCATTATTCCCTTACACCGCTGCGCATCGATAATGTCGTTGCATACCATTATTACAGCGGATGATTCGTCATGTTGCCTCTGCTGTATAAAGGTTTCCCGTCGTTCCACCTTGTCTGTTTATGCCCTTTGCCACATGGTTGTTGTTTTAGTGGTTAGCATTGTTAACTTTGCTCCTTCCCTTTAGTTTTTCAATAAGGCGATTTACCTGTTATACCTGAAGGGCTTGGGCTGAAAAAAAAGATCATGATTGTAGCCTGAAAATTAATACGAAATTATAATTACGAATTTTAAATACCGTCCTTCATGCAGAACAGCATCTCCGGGTTTTTATATATCGCCGTTATACCCTCTTAAAGCAGGTATGGTAGTTTAAAAATGTAAGCTTTGGGATAAGGCTTTGCATAAAAGCTGTGTTTTATTGAATTCTATAATCTTAGAAAACAAGGAACAATAAAATCAATTTTTTTTTACTATTTTGAGCGTGTAAGTTTTCATGATTTGTCAAATTAGGCTTCTAGGGTATAGACTGTTTTTGAGATTAACAATGTAACATGAGTACGTTTTTTGTAAAATACCCATTGGGAATGTTTTTCAACACCGTTATACACACATACTTTTTTGTGGTTTACCTGCAGTTATTTTAATTTCAGTATTAGATTCGCAGGACAGTTATTTGGTGATGCTACATGTGCAGTAATTGTGTTAGCGAACAATTATTTGGTTCATTGTGGTCACCTCGGATCGAGACAATGGGTGCTCTCGGTCAGCTCCTACTTGGTTAAATAAGGGAAAACTTGTTTTTGTATTTTCCCGAAATGAAGATTACAATGTTTGGTCAGGTTTTTATATATCGCCATAGTTTCCACCACCTTTCTTGATGCTCATACTACTGTCAATACATCCACGTTTTTTTCACAGACCACCGTGCACTAAAACATTTTCTCGTGTGTTGTGAAGTAAATAAATCTGCATAACCGCAAGAGTTTCGCAGACCACTTCGACTGGCCTAGTGGACCACCAGTGGCCTGTAGACCGTAGGTTGGCAACCACTGATGTAGCGTTTACCAAAAAGCCTTTTGCTATAATATTAGTCTAAAGTTGGAACTGGGTCATTATTTTTTGCCAGTTTCCCCCTTACACCCTGATTTTGCTATTGGTGTCGAGTAATGAACAAAATTATCCGTTCATATCTCTCGCAGAACGGCCACATCTTTGCTTTGGAGAACGGTCACATCTTTGCTTTGGAGAACGGTCACATCTTTGCTTTGGAGAACGGCCGACAGAAGCGGATATCACGGAACTTTGTTTGAGATCCCTTCCAGTGGTGACCTCTGCTCCAGACTGCAGAGGGCAGCAGACCTGGTTCCTGAGAACTCCCAAAATGGCCAACAATTTTTTTTCATTCATGGGCAAAGCACAAAGTTGGTCACTCAATGAGCGTGCAATGCCTTGGAGTACTAGATGGTTTTTGTTAGACTTCTAGGATCCAAATGCCATTCAGTCGGGAGTTGGGTCCTAGGGAGCCAATGGTCAAAGAGTCGCCGAGCCACAGTTTGAAAGTGCCGCTCCCCGGCTGTGTTAATTGTTGGATCGGCGGTGAGACGTTCACTACCTCGCCCGGTATACAGGAGGTCGTGGGTTCAATCCCGACACTGACGCCTGCTGTATATTTGCCGTTGTACTGGTAGGCACCTCCTGGTTACACCAGCCCACAGGGAATTATTGCGTCCGTCCGTCCGTCGTGCAGGGAGGGTCTGGGTGGGGAGGGGCTGGGTGGGGACGTGCTGGTCACCCCGTGGTGCCCTGATAAAACTCAACATTTAACCTACTCACGCCGGCTTGTGCCCGCCCTCACAGTCGGGCATATTTGCGGAATACACCACGCCGCCGTTGACCCTGGCCATTGACCGAGCAACCCAACGTTTCTACCAGCAGCTGCCTCCGCAGGAATGTGTTCTCCGGGTACTTCGGGTTTTCCCTCCATCTTTAGAAACGCGCGTTTAGATTGTTTGGCTGCTGCTTTAAATTTCCACGTGATTGAACCACTTGGTTGAGCAATCATTTGTGATAGCCAGGTCGCTTCTCAAAAAGAGATTCTCAGCTCAGGTGGTCTTACCTGGTCAAATTAAAATATTTCATAGAGTAATGGGCAAACCCTTGAACAACCAAAAATGTATTCCTAAACAAACTGGCATTCAAATTAATTTGTTGCAAATGGCATTATGGGTATCCATTTTGCAGTGAGGTCCGCAGATGTCTGATTCTGATGTGATAGTGCGGTACAATACACGAAGAGCCACCTTGTTGACCTTTCAGTTGTGGCCACTTCTGAAAAATAAGCTCAGTTCAGTGGGCTTTACCTGGTAAGATAAAACAGTTTAGTTGTATATGTTTAAGTTATTTGTTTACCTTCCTATAATTTGCACTCCGTGTTTGTATTTGTTGAAACATTCTGACCCCGTTGCCCCCCTTACTGGACATCTGTGAACAAAAATAACTTCATAGCAGTCCAAATCCAAGATTCTCATTTTGACATCACGGCTGTTGACAAACTCCACGATATTTCGATTTAAAGCTTTCGTGACTGCAGGGATTCATATTCTTGGTTCTTTCGGTAAAGTCACGTAGAAGCGAAATAATACCGAAAGAACCAAGCATAAAAAAAAAATTACCCATAAAAACTAAGTTTTTCACTATAAATACTTTATATGCGTGGCATCGGTTTTATTTTATTATTCATTTCTGTTTTTATTGAGTAAGAGTTTCATTTTTATCACATTGGTATTTTAAATTAAATATGAAAAAAATTCCCTAAAAATTGGAAAATTTTGGAAAAAAATTTTCACGAAAATAAATTGTCACGCACAACGAGTCTGTGTGCAAAATGTCAGCTCGATTGAATCACGGGAAGTGGGTTAAAAAACGACCGAAAGATTTGTACGATAGTAAACGCGCAAGCAAGCAAGTGAACTTAAAATAAAGGATTTAAAAACTCTACGATAGTTGAATTAATGACGTCACGCGCATTGGAGTATGCGTGACATCATCTGCAGGCGGGGTCTGCGTGACGTAGTCTTCAGTGGGGGTGTGCGTGACGTCATCCGCAGGAGTGTTGTGCGGATGTTTCCGCAAAGAGTGAGTGCGTGACCTCATCTGCAGGGGGGAGGGGGAGGAGTACGTGACGTCATCTGCATTAAATGGGTTTGCGTGACGTCATCCGCATGGTTTTTTGTGTGTTCTCAACGTCTTCGCTTGTCGGGAAACGCGTCGCGCTGACGTCACTTCCCGTCCACCACCGCGCGCGTCGTCGCTCGCTCCTGCAGGGCCTGGACACAATGGAGTTTCCTCGCCGCGGTGAGTTGGAGCCCCTGGCCCTCACACTCCGCACCTGCCGTTGTTTCGTTGCGTCTCTTCAACAGAGATGTTGGTGTTGCTGTTGGTACAACATGCACTGGGGTCGTCGTCGTAGTTGGTGGTGGTGGTTGGGAAGGCCCTCCCCACCCCACGTCCTTCACGCGGCTTGATTAGCTTCCTCTTAAACATACTCTGGTTTTTTCGGTAAAGTCATTGAGGTATATACTATATCACGACGTTTCGGGCGTTAGGCGAGACACAGTCGTAGCTGGCCATGTAACCCGAAGTGGACGTCTTGACTGGGACATCTGTGGCGGGGGGGGGGGGGGGGTAGAGAGAGAGAGCGCTTGAAAGCTCATCGGATTTCACTGGCAGTACAAATGAAGATTGTGAAACTTTGATGCGTCAAGCAAGCCCGAAGACGTAGAGACCCGTTAATACGGAGAGACTGATAGAGGTACACAGAGACTTGAGATGCATGGTTATATGCGTTCGTTTTAGATCGGTCACAGTAAAGCGATTTTGGCCATGCAACCCAAACTATGGGCCCTATAATTAACACGTAGAGACTTATAGTGCTACAAAAAAGACACACAGAGATGAGTTAAAGGAGTAAAGATTGTGGACAAGTCCGAATGATGTTGTAAATACATGCCTCTGCAGCTAAACCCATGTTGGAATGTGTTTAGAGAAGCCATGCATATGGATACAATTATTTCTTGCTATTTGTTCTCCAGGTCAAAGGTGGCCCGGCCGAAATGACGAGAGATTTGGAGAAGATATTCGAAACCCATCTGACCCAAGAATGTCGAGAGGTACAACTGCAATGTCTGAAGTTGGACATGCAGTCTGGTGGAACGCTTCCTTGTTCGCAACACCGTCAAATCAATGCGGATGTGTGGAGTTCATAAGTTTAAGCTGATGCTGATACACTTTTTTATTTTTTATTCTTTGGAATGCCACAATCTGTGCAGCCATAATTTTACTTTTAAATGTATTGTGATATTATACATATTTCCATAACAAGTGTTTGGGAAAAATTAGGAAAAAATTAGTATTTGCTCAGCATGTACTGAAGATTGATTTGGAGACTAATAAGGGATTCGTATGCTAACTATGCATGCATATCATTGTGCGTATTCCTTTAGAGGAGTGGTTCTCAGCGTGGTCCCTGGACCACCGCCGGTCCGTGACGCTCCTCCTGGTGATCCACCAAGCTGAGATTCTTGAGTTTGTTGAATTGATGTAGTTTGTAATATGTATTTAAAAAAATAATAATGTCCATATTCTACTGTTGTATTCTGCAGGAGACATGGGGCCACAGAAGGGAGGTAAAACGTACACTAAGGCTGTGAAGCTGCTCGAAACGATGCTGGAAATGGTGCAGTCTGAACGTTCAAACAACCCGCCTGGTATGACCCATTCCTCCCACGGATCATTACTCTCGAGGGGCTGAGCAGTGCTAATTGACCGTATTATGGGTTGGTATACATTACGTTGTTCACATTTTAAAGTATTATACTCGTTAAAAATGTAGCCTTTGTCCACACTTTGGATATAACAGTATGAGAATGGCGGTACGGTTCACGCATTGTTGTGAAATCCAATAATGTTTTTTTAAGACGGCCTCTGGTAGTTTGTTCCTCTATGTATGGCATTTCTGAAATACTGAAAGTTTAAAGCCTCAACTACTTTTTCAAACCTTTCATTTCACACCAGTCGCATTTCACATGGGGGGGGTGTATGCTTCCAAACCTCACACTCGAAGACACCAGGGGCCTGAACATATGACTTGAGAAACCATAGCAATTTCCTAAGTTCTATTAATGGTAAGACTTATAGCTCCGAATAAATATTTAAGCTAAGATATTGGGCATACTAAAGTTAGGGGAGATGTTTGTGGTAATCAGAATCATTTTTTTAATTAGGAGGAATCTGAGGAACTAAGTTATTTTTCACAGATGTCTAGTCACAGATGTCCAGTAATAAGGACTGCTCGGCAATTATAACCAATATTAACATAACATGATGACAGCATTAATTATTAATAACAGACAAATCATACTGGTAGGAACCTCCTGGTTACACCAGCCCACGGGAGATTATTGTGTCCGTCCGTCGTGCAGGGAGGGGCTGGGTGGGGAGGGTGGGGCTGTGTGGGGAGGGGAGTGTGGGGAGGGACTGGGTGGGGCTGGGTGGGGAGGGGCTGGTCACCCCGTGGTGCCCTTATAAAACTCAACGTTTAACCTACTCACGCCGGCTTGTGCCTGCCCTCATAGTCGGGCATATTTGCGGAATACACCACGCCGCCGTTGACCCTGGCCATTGACCGAGCAACCCAACGTTTCTACCAGCTCCTTCCGCAGGAATGTCTTTAATAACATTATTGATCAATTCTAGCATTAATAATAAACATACTCAGCCACAGACCGGTGAAGGAAATTGATTGATGATGTCAAACTGGCCATGTTGCATGGGGTTTGTCTCCCTGGAAGTTGATTGGCTGGTGTAGGGGGAGTGGTGATGTAATCCCAAGCGACAACTGCTATGTGAGCGAGAGCTGCGATCTCACTGGGAGATCCCATATTTATTTTCAATTATGATGCGTACCCCTCTTCAGGGATTCAGGATAATACTACAGTCAGGTTTATGATGCATATTGAGAACAAGCCCCGGTCTATTAGACCAAACAACATGACGCTGGCTATACCCATCTGTGAGACACAGCATCTTTAATGTTATCCTTTGCGCTGTAAGAACAGCTTCAATACCAAATGTACACGTTTATTTAATTGTTTACTCATACCTTAATTATTTTTGTTCCGTTACTCCCATTTCCTGGGGTTTTTTTTTTGCTGCCTGAGATTTTTGTCACTCTCGAGGAGACGCATCATTATGAGTATATCACGAACACATTATACGTCAAGTTTGTTGTATTTCACGGCACTTTTGTCAAATACATTTTTTTTCACGAGGTCATTCATCGGCTAATGCCGTCCCCTGTTTGCAGGTGGAGGTGGACGTGAAAGGTCACCTCACAGAGGGTAAGTGATGACCGATAATCAAGGCTAAGGTCAGAGGTTGCAGGCGAGATTAATGATGGCGTTGCAGGACCGTGAGGAATGCGGGTTGTCTGGAGAGACCTTCATCCAGCAATAGATAGAAACTGGTTGATAAAGATGAGAAACATGAAAAAAATGCTCCGAGTGCATTGTCTTTGTACTGTTCGCCTTTTGGCGTTCTCTGGTCTGACACTGGTAAGGCTAGGCCCTAAATATAGAAGGATGTGTGGTGAATGCAGAATTGATTCCTTGCAAAAGGTTTCTATTTGGTATTTGAACCACTTAACACCTGTTTTATTGCCATATAGGATAAAACCTATTCTTATTTTTTCATTCTTTGATACTACGGCTAAAAGGTCCCATTTTGAAGATGATATATACATGATATATATAGCATATGTAAGTCCAGATACAAACTTTTATCGGCACCGTTAAAAAAAAGTTAAATGTTAAATGTTGGTATTTGTATCGTATTGGTACAGGTTGGTGAAGATGGATCCAAGGAGCAGATAAGTATTGCTACTGGTTCATAGCGCAGTGTGATACCACTGTGTCACCGCTCCATCCCGATCAGCCAATTGAGGTATACGTAAGGGCCGTCTTCCAAGCTGAAGAAAATGTCCTTCCTACGCAATTGCAACAGAAGCTGAATATTGTCGTAAGTATATACTTCAGAAGGAGGAACCAGCCGGTTATCCAGGAATCTGCATAAAACTACATTTGGGCAAAAACAACACGAGGAAAGAAAAATAAAGCAAGTGTACGTAGGCGGGAAGACGCAACAATCCCATTCATAAATGACAGTGGTGCAAGAGCCACCGAGACTGATGCCAGCAAGTCTGATGGTGGTTGGTAGTCACCAGGGCTGGTGTCGGTGGTTGCAGGTGGTTACTGAGCTGGTAGGAGATGTAGCTATCTCCTACACTCGTGGAATGTCAACGATTGCCCTTGGTGCGAATTTGGTCACCAATTGCTAACCATGGACCACATAGGGCACTGCCCACTTTGGACACTCGCTGGCAGAGATTCAGATATTTGCCAGGAGGCTACTTCTGAAGTCATCTACTGGCCGACTGCTCGGTCGCTAACCTCGACAGCATAGAAACCCCATCGGTCAACTTATCGCCGTATCAACAAAGATTGGACTGGCTTTGGTAGTCACAGGGCTGGTAATTGTCGTCGTGGGTGGTCACGGGGTTGATGCTGGTGGTAACGGGTGGGCCGGGCTTTGTGTAAAGCCCATGCAATGGTGGCGGTGGTCCTTGCGGTTATATAGACTGGCAGCCCAGTTTGCAGAAGTCCCTGATGACAACAGTGAAGATTATTATGAAGTGATTATTCTTCTCTTGTGGCACCAACAACAATAACCGCCATGCTCCATTAAGTGGCGGTGACGTCACCACATCGCTTGTGCCAGGCTATGTGCATGTTAAGGCCATATGAAGTGTTGAACGCCCGCTGGCAGGAGGTCACGGGCCAGAGCCAGGTGCGATGGGTCGACTGACCGATGCACCACATGTGCCCCTTACTGTGCCAGCTTTCTGTGTTTTAGCCACCCGGTGCTCCACTCGTGACCGTCGCTCCCCTGCCCTCCATTGTTGCTGGATTGCAACTGCTTCCAACTGTCCAGTAGCCTCCTCCGCACAGGCCTCCTCGAGCCTCCTCCACACAGGCCGATCTTGATACCGCTGGTACCAGTCATTGGCAAGTCCACTCAGCTCCACATCCTCCTGTACCACATCACTCCATCTCTTCTGTAGCCCATGCCACGCCCATTTAGCCCCCTCTATCCAGCTGAACAAAAGCTGTTTCGGCATGTGGTGGCTGGGCATGCGGGTTACTTTGACCCAGCCAATGCAGCCTTGCCTGCCGGAGGAGCTCACTGATGGGACTTTGTCCAGATCTTTCAATATTTTGTGAGCTCGCACAATCCAGCCTGGTTAAACCCAGGATGAATCGTAGGCAGGCCAGCCTAAATGTTCATAACTGGCGAAGATGTTTCATTCGTGTGGGCCACTTTTTGTAAGTATAGAGAAGGGAGGGCATGACCGTGGCCGAGAACACCCGAAGCTTCATGCGGAGCGACAGACCAGGTAGCTTCCACACAGTGTTACGCAGCGTTGCAGCACCACCTCCGCTATCACAGCCACCAGGGTGGCCTTACCATCCAACGTCTCTCTTGCACCAGCGCCCGCCCTACGCACCTTTCCACCGGTTCACATGCTGCCACCTTTCCACCTGGTTCAAGTGCCGCCACCTCTCCACGCACCGCGGTGAAAGCAGCGCGGGCTGCGCTGCTCCGTTTGCTCCAGACAGCTGTTGAGCAGGGCTCCGGTTACGGTGCTGAAGGTCAAATACGGCAGGTGAATCATGGGGGGCGGAAGGGGGGCCTCCATGAGGAATTGGTTCCTCCTTGACATCCTGGTGTGGCATGTTAGTCCACGGTGGGTGCCGTTAATGACAAGCGGCCAACAGGAGAACTGAAGATATTTGACGGACGGTGGAAGACTTGCGTTGGCGTGAATCTTCGGTAGCTTTCTAGTCGCAGCCTCCTGACATTTGTGTGGAGGGGTGAATGTGTGATTTTAAAAAGTGTCAAGTACCGTTATTTTTTTGCCTTTCCAAAAAAATATTTTTGGTTATGAAATTCTGCTACTTTGTATATAAACTGTTAATTGTAATGGATCAAGCAAGCTCGTTAATGTTTTTTTCACACATTTTCTATGATGCATGTGTCGTGAGCATTAGATTCAAGTTGAATGGATTAATCAATAATTTTGTCACATTATTGAATAATTCGTTTTCTTTGCCATCATTGAGCTCGGTCACAGGACTTGATGGGCATTTTGTAAAAACATACTGTTATCATACAATATTAGAATTGGCTGCTATCATACAGCACTGCCAGCTTTAGCAGTTGTTCACCACTGAGGCCCTGTAATGGTTGTTTCTTTTTTGACACTTTGAAATGTAAATTTTGATTTCCAGACACAACTCAAGTGAGTCGTTTGACTCCAGGCCAAGATTCAATGAACCCAACCCATTCATTCAGCAGGGCACAAGAATACGTAGCTCTGACCGTGACAACTTCAGAAAGCCTCAAGAGCATCCTCATATCCAAGGCAACAGTCATGATGACAAGTATAATGTTCCTGCCTGGACAGAATATCCAGACCACCAAGAAATTGGAAGACCAAATAGAGCGAAAAATCTTGAATGGCCTTCCAATGCTCAGCGCCATGGGAGGGATAGCATTGCTGATGTGCAAGATTTTCAAAGATACGCCAACAAGCAAGGTTTAAAACATCGGGACACTGAACCACTGTTTGTGAATTCTGATCGCGATCCAAATTTTAAAGATTCGGAAAACAGTATGCCATTTGAAGGTCGAAGCAGACCAGGATATGTGGGATTCAACAAAAATCCAAGTCCTCACAGTCCAGACTCGAGGCCAGGATTACCAGAGCCAGTTGATAAGAGAGGCTTTAGAGGTCCAGATGACAGGTCTCGTTTTGGAGGTCCACAGGGTATGTTAGGTTTTGAAGGGCCAAAAAGGTCAGGCAATCAAGGTCCAGCTAACAGATCAGGTTTTAGAGGTACAGATGACAGGTCACAATATAGAGGATCAGACAGCATGTCACGTGTTCATGGTCCTGAAATTAGATCCGGGTTCATAAGTCCTGCCTCCACATCAGGCTTTGGGGGTTTGGATGACAGATCAGGCTTTCAAGGACCAAATGAAACCTCTGGCTTTGACAGTAAGGATGTCAAGTCAAGCTTTCAAAGTCAAAATGACAATCCTGTTCTCAGAGGTCCAAGTGATATGACTGGATTTGCAGGGTCACAAAAAGGATTGCTGTTTCAAGGCCCTGACAATAGACACAGCCATGGAGGCTCAACTGGCAGACAAGACATCAAAGGTTTAAATGACAGACCAGGAATTCCAGGCCATGGGTGCATACCAAGCTTTGGAGTTTCAGACAGTAGAGAAGGATTTGGTGGTTCAGACCTAAAGCAAGGGTTTGTAGATGTAGGTGATAGGTCAGGCCTTAGAGATTCCAATAACAGGCAGCGTTTTGAAGGTGCAAGCAGCCAGTTGGCCTTTGGAGCTCCGGATACTCAGTCTGACTTTAGAGTTTTGGATAACAAGCTGGGATTTGGAGGTCAAAATAATAGACCAGGCTATGGTACTGCAGACGCATCAGGTTTTGGAGGTCTGAAAAGCACTCAAGCCTTTGGAGGTCTGGACAGTAGGCCATACCCTGGAGGTTCAGATGACCGGCCAGGTTTCGGAGGTCACGATGACCGGCCAGGTTTCGGAGGTCACGATGACCGGCCAGGTTTCGGAGGTCACGATGACCGGCCAGGTTTCGGAGGTCACGATGACCGGCCAGGTTTCGGAGGTCACGATGACCGGCCAGGTTTCGGAGGTCACGATGACCGGCCAGGTTTCGGAGGTCACGATGACCGGCCAGGTTTCGGAGGTCACGATGACCGGCCAGGTTTCAGAGGTCACGATGACCGGCCAGGTTTCGGAGGTCACGATGACCGGCCAGGTTTCGGAGGTCACGATGACCGGCCAGATTTCGGAGATCCAAATATCTCACCAGGTATTGAAGTTACAATTAACCGACCGGGTTTTGGAGGTCATAATGACCGACCGGGTTTTAGAGGTCTAAGTGACCGACCAGATTGTGAAGATACATCTGACAGGTCAGGATTTGGAGGTACAAATGACCAACCAGGTTTTAAAGCTCCAGATGACCCGCCAGGTCTTGAAGTTACAAATTACCGGCCAGGTTTTGGAGGTCATGATTACCGGCCAGATTTTGGAGGGCCTAATGATCGACCAAGTTTTGGAGGTCATGATGACCGATCAGGTTTCGGCGGTGCAAATGACCGGCCAGGTTTTGGAGGTCATGATGCCCGGACAGGTTTTGAAGGGCCTAATGATCCACCAAGTTTTGGAGGTCATGATGACCGACCAGGTTTCGGAGGTCCAAATGATCAACCAGATTTTGAAGGTACAAATGACCGGTCAGGTTTTAAAGGTGCAAATGACCAGCCAAGATTTGGAGACCCAAATGATCGGCCAGGCTTTAGAGGTCCAATTGATCGACCATATTTTGAAAGTACAAATGACCAACCAGGTTTTAGAGGTTCAAATGACCGACCAGGATTTGGAGAACCAAATTACCAGCCAGGTTTTGGAGATCCAAATGACGGGCATGGTTTTGGAGGTCCAACTGACCGGCAAGATTTTGGAGGTTCAACTGACCATCAAGACTTTGGAGGTCCCAATAACAGGTCTTGGGTTCGAAGACCAAATGTAGAGCCAAGATTTGAAAGTCGAAATGTTAAGCCTTTGCTTGAAGGCCTCCATGACTATTCTGGGTTTGGTGGTCCAGTTGTACATCCAGGTGTTGGAGGTTCCAATGAGCAGTTACGATTTGAAGATCCATACGTACAGCCGGGGTTCGGAGGCCCAAAGAACCGGCAACATTTTAAACCTCCAGGGTTTGGACAACGTGGCATCAGAGGCTCTGGTACAAGCGGTATGCAGCATTTTGGAGGTCGAGGAGATGGGCCAGGGTTTAGAGGTCAATACAATAAAAATGTTGGGTTTGTTAAAAATCAAAAGAAGCGCATTCGCGCACATAAACTTATCAGCAAAACATGGATTCATGGGAAAAGAGTAGGTCCTCCTGTCGTTGAAAAAAAACACCCGGATTCTGTGAATACCAAGAGCAGCACCACTTTAGCACCTTCAGGGGATCCAAAATCCCATCACAAGCCATCCACGCCAAGTGACACTGCAGTAAGTATGAAATTATTTTCGTTACGTCTCCTATTGTGCTCACGATGCTAATTTGAGCGAAAGGGTAAATGATCCGTAACTCTGTAGTTAGTACAAGATCACATATTCGGTTTATACCATGTGTGCGGCAGAGTGGCACGGTGGTAACAGTTGTGCCCTTGGGCAAAAGGTCCTGGGTTCGATTCCTGTCCCATGTACTCTTTCTGTGTGAAGCGTGCATGTTCTCCCCACTACCCCTACTCTGCATGTATTTTCTCTGGCTTCACAGTGTCCTGCCATATCTAAATGTGCCTTAACAGTGGCCAAAAAAATCCCAAGGCAAGACCTTGCTGAAAAAGTTATAATTACTCCGTGTTGCTTTGTTCCGTAGATTAGTAATGATTATATTTCCTCATGACAATCTGATGCATTTCAGTGATTGTACCACATTTAGCACATTGCCTACACACTGCCAATATACCGGATAATTGTTCCCTGGGTAATTTAGTTCTTGGGCAAGAACTGTCATAAATTAAAACAAAAAGTGCATTTGGTGTTTTTTCCACTTTGCAAAGCTGAATGTTTATTGTTGGGTCCTATTTGTGCCTTTGCAAATAAAATGTAGTAATATATATTTTTAGTTTTGATGAAAACAATTTACTGCAATTTGTCAAACAAGTGCTATATAAAGGCCTCCCCACATACCACGTCAGTCATGGGGCTTTTCTTTGACCATACTTCAGCATGCTGGTCAGTACAGGACAGTGAAGGAGCACCGAGGACCACTAGCCACTGATGTTAGCCGTGGCCAACAATGGAACTCGGGGGTGGGGGGGAGGAGCTGGGGTTCACAATGTATTGTGCTAAGCAATTGCGCCACCACTCGGCGCCTGTATAAGGTAGATAAAATATAACTGTTTAAGCGTCAAGGAATAAAGCTCCGCTTAAAAGTCCGTTTCCAAATGAACAGTCCGGATGGGACACTGGAATGTGTGAATCCTGTTTTCAGAAAGGTAAGACGACTTGTATGATGTGTAATTTTAGGGATAAGTTTCAGACTTAAACATTTCACACTCGTAAAATTTTTTTTACCATTTACCCGTGGCACACCAGAGGAAGGGAGTAGAATGAAGCAAATACGGTGGCTGGATGTTGACTACCTCGCCTTGTATAAAGGAGGTCGTGGGTTCGATCCCGACCCTGACGCCTGTTGCATATTTCTATAACTCATTTAAAAAATTGCAATCAGTATGGTCCATTTTCAGAGGTGTTCTATGTTTATGTACTTACAATTTATATTTAAAAAGTTTGTGAGAAAATTTGAATGACAACATGCAGGGTAAATGTTGTTACAATGACGGTACGTTTGTTTTACATTATGTAACAATGCAAAAGACCCAACAGAAAAAGTACGAATTATTAATATTTTGTAAACTTACATTCAACCTCATCGATTATTACTAGCATCTACTCATAGCGTTTGCAACCTTTGCAACTGGAAAGTTGTGAAAATACATCCTAGTTGTGGTGGGGGGGGGTTGACTCAGCCCATCATCCCTCCGATACATATTAAATATTGCTTTGCGGAGAAATCAAGAATCATTGTCCTACGAATAGAATTAGACCCCACCATAGGAATGAGGAATTTCTACCAGTGGCTCTGCAGGGCCGTCAATTAATAACGTTGCGGTAGAGTTTGTAAAATTAAAATGTTTTTCGTCCTGTCATTTTTGAGAAGCAGAGGTAAATACAGAAACCAAGAAAGAATAAAAGTCATGCATAAATGCACGAATACTGTAACACTGATCTCATGAGTGAATGCGTGTACTGCCTGCTATGGCGTCAGAAACGTGGAGAAACAATGTAGAAAATTGGGAGTGCGCAAACATTTTTTAAGTGTTGAACAAAACGTGGGGGAGGTGTGTGCTTAGAAGCACATCGAGAGACGGGAAGAGGAACGGGTGGATACGTGCATTGATGATACCGTCAATATTGCATTGCGTGCGTTGTGGTTTCTCAACGTTTAAGGTTGGCGCCGAGGCAAAGAAAGCGACGATAAAACCTGTGCAGGACGCAAGTTCCTGCCCGCAAAAACTCCCCGACGCTGGGAAAGGTAACCCCACGCTTGCAAACATGTGCCCACGCGTTCTTAATCTATCGTCGTACGGATGTGATGGCGATCACGTTGCCGTACGGGCGGCGGTGGCTACGCATGTGGCCTGTAATCTATCAACTGGAGGTAGTGAGGGTTGGTGGGTTACTTTAAAACACAAACTTTATTTTCACAGGTAATCCCCACTGAGCTATGTAGCTTTCTTTCAGAAGCGACTTGTGCTATGAATTGTCTCGTGCAAATTTATAGCAGCCAAATACTCCAAATCACATCTTCTTAAATTTGGAGGACAAAACCCAGAGGACCTGGAGAAAAATCCACAGATAGAACATGCAAACTCCAAATATACAGGCGCCAGGGTCGGAATCGAACTCACGACCTGTACACTAAGTGAAAAAGATGAAATCTCGCCACCGCGGCGACCCAGATCTTGACACCAATAATCAAAGACTTTCTAAGTACAATGATGTACAGGGAAACACTTGGATATATTTAATTCAATGAAATAATTGAATAATGACGACATTAACAACGCCCCAGATTTTGCAGACAAGTCAACTCGAAGGTGCGGAGCCAAGCTCAGGGCTCCTCGAAAGCCTGACCCAAACAGAGAGAGAGGCCTTTAGATGTTTCTTAAAATCCGGGGTGCATTTGATGTTGCGGATGTGCAAAGGGGGGATAGGGTTCGCATTTGTTCGCCGTGCGAGCTGCGCAGCATGATGGCTTGATATTTGTTAATGTTGCAATGTAATATCTTAACAGGCATTGACAGATGAGTGTTGTGTTTCCGTGGGCTCGGTGCTGACACGTTTTATATGTATTGCTTGCAGACGAGAAACCTCAAGCCAAGCCCGCTCAATGTCGGTGAGTGCGAGTTCAGACTGTTCAAAAGGAATGACTGGAAACGAGCGATTTTGTAAGACGATTCATTTGCTCTCGGCGACAGTTCATGAGCAAGTTCGTAGGCTCACAATCCGGTACAGCGTTGGCCAAGCTACCAAGCAAGGGATCCATTCTCGTGGTCTCAACGGGCCCTGAAATCTAGCAGAAAGCTGCGACCAACGATTACCCGCATGGATTTAACTGCGTAATATGTAGATGTAAAATTCTTGTGTAGACTCCTTGTGCCCATTTATTGGAACACGTTATTATATTCGTGTGCTCGTGGTGGTGTTCTGACTTGTCCTGGGATCCACAACAAAATGTGGGTACTCGAATGGTCGTGTGCAAAAAAGAGTTGTCAAGTTACCCCCGGTGGCTGTGACGTGGGCTTGCAGTGGCGCGTTCACCGCTTATTCATGCGGCCTCATAACATTTTGATATCGCAGCAAAAGGTACATTTCCAGGAATTTTATATGGGGTAATGGGAGCGGACTTCTGCATGCCACGACTGTGTCTTGACAGGTACAACTACGCCTGCTGTTTGTGCAAAGTCGCTGCTCAAGCGCGCGCCGAGATGGACTCCCACATGGCGAGCAAAAAGCACAAGCAGCTGATGAAGCAACTCGTGGAACTTTGTCCCAACGGAGAAACCGTCTCTAGTTTCTTTCAAGTAATTTGCACTACATTTACTTTTAGATGTAAATCATTTTATTTAGCAATAGTCTTTGATTAATTATTGAATGGTGGCAAGATGTTGGGGTGCCCCGGTGGTGAAATGGTATCTTTTTCGCCTGGTATACAGGCAGGCGTAGATTCGATCCCATCCCTGACGCCTTTTATATTTGGAGTTTGCATGTTCTCCCCGTGATTGCGTGGATTTTTCTCCGGGTCCTCCGGTTTCGTCCCATCCACATTTAAAATCGACGTCACCCGTTTAGAGTGTTTGGCGGCTATAACATTTGCACATGACGATAAGCCACTTCGTTGAGCTATCATTTGTGGCCAGGTCACTTCTGAAAAGAGCTGCATAGCTCAGTGGGCCTTGCCTGGTAAAATAAAAAACGCCCCTGGAAGATGAGCACCAAAGCCTCATTGCTCATCTGAGCACGATCTCCCTTGTACTTATTTTGAGTGTCTTTTTAAGGCTGCCCATTCCTCCCTTCTGTCAGACGTACATGGACTGGAGGAACGCCAGAGTGGCGAAGCTCAACGGCGTCGTCAACCGCCCCTTGGAAGGGCACCCGACTGCCTCGTCAAGTGACCCAAACAAAAGTTGGTGACTCCCGTACGCACGTTGACATGTCGCCTGCTTAGTCTGCGTGTTGGGGGTGTATCCTGTGTGGTCGCGTTTACCGCCTCGTACATTTACGGAGCCGCTTTCGCTCGACGCTCTACACAGTTAAACAATTTTGAGTGATTTCGATGGCAAGGGGCGTGCAAGGGCCGAGGAATGAGTGGCCGTATGAACAGAGGTCTCGCAGGGCTACAGGGGAGGGACGGGAAGGAGTGGAGGGATGAGGGGAGGGGAGAGAATGGGCCATTGAGAAGAGGCGAGGCTTTAAAAGAGAAACGGAACGAGGGGGACTGCTCAATGTACCAGCCATGCATGCCATGTTGAGTTTGCAGTTCCGTCCCATGTTGGGCACCGTGTGTTTGAATGTAGCATTTCTGCTATTGTCGCTCTACATTTTCATCCCGGAAAAAGGGTTGGAAGTCCGGTGTGCAAACCATTACACCACTGCGGCAGCATCGCCTTTTATTCCTCAACATCAGCATTTCATTTGCGCGAATCTTTAGGCCCAGGTGTTTTGCGCGCTCATTCTGCCGCTAACTGTTGCCTGGTTCGTTGTTCATCCCCCATGCGTTTGTGCACGTGCGTGCGTGCCCACCTGTGCGTGCGCGTGTCAAGAAGCAGAAGCAGCGCTTGACGCAGCGCTGGAGGCGACGCGCGTTGTGTGGTGCCACGCGTGCCGTGTGCACGTGCCCTACGTCTCCAAGTGTCTGAAGGAGCACATGTACTCGGAGTTGCACATCACTAACAGAAAGGTCAGTCTGCCCCCCCCCCCCCCCACGTTGGTGTTTAATACGAGCTGTTTGAGTACGCTTTGGTCACTGTTCTCAGCGGTCGAGCGAGTGGCTCGCAACTCGCATCCCGTGAGTTGCGAGTCCAAATCCTGGTTGGGGGGGAGGGGAGTGAGTGAGGATGACCGAGCCCATCATCTGTCTGGGGTTGGTTAAACGGGGGTACCGCTTTGTGGGGAAGGCAACGGTGGTTGTCCTCGGGAGACATTTACCCCTGCCATAGCAATGTGGAATTTCACAACCACTGGCTCGGTGCTTAAATAGGAGGCGAGCGCTACCTCAGCGTCTCTTATTAGCGACATAGTTTGGTGATGCTACATCGGGGCAGTGGTGCAGAAGCACAATCGGCAAAGACCCTTCAGCGTTCGTCAAAATGCACCGCTTTCAGATAAAACAACAGAGGCGACGTTTTGGGCAGCGGCCCTTTTTAATTGCACGTAAATTGAGCAGAGGTACTCGCTCCCGTTGCCACCGCTGCGTTCCACGGGAAACCCCGCTGCCGGCGCTCGAGTTACCCGTTCAACCTTGCGCTGAAAAATCACCTCTTTTTAAATGCGTGTCCCCTTCTTTTCAGGTGACCATGAAGGAGAGAACGACCAACGTGGTGGACATAGTGAAGAGCTTAATGCAGCTCCCAAAAAGCCTCGCTTTGTTGGAGTCCTTTAAAAAGGTTTGTAGTTCCACTCTCCGTGGTTTGTGCCGGTGTGTGTTTGGAGAAACAGTCACCGCCACCACCTTCAGCCTCCAGAACGTGTCATCGCACAGTCTGGTTCAATATTCGATCTCGTGAAAGTTGAGTGGATTAACAATTTTTTCTGCTGCCACGTAAGGCCCCACTGAGCTTGCATAGTTATTTTTTCAGAAGCGCAACTGGCCACGAATGATGGCCCAACGAGAAGTGGCTTATCAAGTGGATATTTATAGCGGCCAAATACTCTTAAACGCGTGATGTCGATTCTAAATGAAGGGAAAAACTGGCGGACTCGGAGAAAAACCACGCGGAGAGAGACGCGCAACTCCAAATATACAGCAGGCATCAGGGTCGAGAGAGAACCCACAACCTCATGTATACCAGGCGAGGTAGCCTTGTAATGTCGGATATCCCACTACAAAGTACGATGAATTTTTACATCATTCATTTGGACAATGAAAACGTGTTAATGTAGGGATTTAATACCTACCACACCAGTCATACAGTAGTACTTTGTTAATCACATCATTTAGGAGTAGCGTAACTTCTTATGAACATTCCACGTGTTGAATAATCGCTGCCATTCGCACACATCACATTGACAGGTCTTGTTTTTTTTCCTCCTCATTTCTTTGCTTTCAGGGTAAAGATCCGTTCACAAACGTAAGCGCCTTCATCGAGGAGTGGGAATTCAATCCTGAAGACAACGTAAAAGAGAAATCCGTCGAAGCGAGTGCCAAGGTTGTGACGCTTGAAGCGGGCGCCTCCGGGCAAAAGCAAGTGCCCGTTGTGGAGCTTCTGAAGAAGCATAGCCAGCCTGAAGCTGCTCACTCGTCTGCTTTTGAAAGCGCCAAGGGGAGCATCCCAGCTCCGGTGAACGCGGAAAAGCAGATTAAGCTGGCGGGTAATGAGATTGATTTGGCTAAGAAGAAAAGACCACACATCCCTGCTAAACCTTTCAACGTTAAGAAGGAGAGACTCGACGACGTTCCTGATCAAACATCTTACGTTAAGGAGAGAATCAATGTTCCTGCTAAACCTTCCAACGTTAAGGAAAGAATCGATGTTCCTGCTAAACCTTCCAACGTTAAGGAAAGAATCGACGTTCCTGCTAAACCTTCCAACGTCAATAAGGAGATGATCGACGTTCCTGCTAAACCTTCCAACGTTAAGGAGAGACTCAATGACGCTCCCGCTAAAACTTCCTCCCATGCAGCAGCAGCAGCAGCTGCGAGTGTCACAACGGCGCAGAAGCAAATGGCGAATGCTCACCGGGCCGATGTTGACGACCGTGCGGATGGAGGCATGGGGGAAGTTAAAATTAAGATTGAAGGAGGAGGGGTCGAGGGAGATATCAAAGGGGACTTGGAAGAGGAGGGCATAGTTGTGCTCAACATGGATGAGGACTTCCAGCTGGATGATTTTGACGATGAGGATTATGAAGCCGGTGAAATTGTGCACATTATGGCCGGGGAATAGACCCGAATAGCAAACTCGGCAGCATCGGTGGCCTGGTTGCGACTAGGTTGCGTGCGAGACCCTGCCGATTTGCTAAACGTCTTGTTTGTCAAACATAAACAGGCATTGTTGTGATTGAACAGGCATGGACGTGACACAATATTAATTCTTTAAATGAAAAATCCTACAGGGGGCTAGCAGTTAAGTGCCGGCTCACACCTTCTAACGCGAAGCAAATGTGTTAGCCCCCAGTTCGCGCGCTGTAGATTTTCACACTGTATTTTTACGTTGCCATTAATAAATTTATTTTTACGTCTTTAAGGTCATTGCGAGACACGTGTGATCAGTACGTACCCTCCATCTAAATCATTTTATCCTGCACCTGAGATTTCAACACAAATTAGTAACTCATGGATTTGCCCTTAAGCCCAAATTAATAATCTGAAAACATTTATTCATTGTTTTTCTTGGAAATGTGTATTACAAGTAACGTGCTTAAACCGAATAAATATTAGCCGCAGTTAATCCAAAATCCACGTTATCGCCTCTACAGTACAGTAGTTGCATATTTTTACAACAGTGGTGTTTGTTGGCATGGCTCTGCTGTCTGCTTAGTGGGTTAATTCTTCTGCGCGGGAGCAGGAAAGTTTTATCACTGAGCACGCGCATTCGATTCTTTACTACAAATTTTAGTTTTGTTCATTAACAAACTCAATTTTCTTAACTTAAACATAATACCAATATGCGTGGCTGTTGGCATAGAGAGCCGCGGATAATTAATCATACGCAGCCGTCCTCCCCGTCGTTCGTGCGGACAATCGAGTCTTCTGTATATTATAAAAAAAAGTTTTGCTGGCTGGTGCGCGGGCAGTGACGTCACTGTGCGATGCCATCAGAGCGATGATCCGGTTTCATGCGTCACGCTGATGTCACGCAGCCCCTCTTCCCCCCCCCCTACCATCCATCCCGGTCGTATTTCCCACTCAAATGCGTGGGGCAGTGTTGGTGTGATGTAGAAGGTGTCAGAAAAAAAATGTTGACCTCGATTGATTACCTAGATCATGATTGGTGAGGGTTTTAGGTTGCATATGTCATGGGGTTGTGTGGCAGTAACGTAGGAGTTTAATTTTTTTCCCTTACTATCCGGACGCTGTTACAAAAGTAAAAATGAAAATACATTTTTTACGGCTTAAACCGTCCATAGCATGAACAATTTGTGAAATGTATACGGTCATGCTTTTCCCAAGACCGGATGAGTTTATAATTTCCTAAACCTGAATGCGATACAAAATCCAGATTGTGTCGACCAGTTCCCGGAGAATCGGAATATGTGCTTATACTTGAGGAATCTGATGAGCTATAAAGGTTTATTTAACATATGTCCAGTCCGGGGCATGGGTTAAGAACGTTACAACAAACAATACAAAATACGATAGGAGTGCAAAGTTCAAATAAGGTCATCAAATCCCCCAATCACAAGGAAATAAAAACGAGACCGTCCCCATCCTCCCATCTGGATTGCGCAGCAATTATCGCCCCCAAGTGTGAAACTACTACGGAGTATGAAGAATGGCTCTATTTTTGTGATAAACTGTACTAAATCGTTATGTAGCCGCTTTGTAAACATTGTTAATGCATGTTTGACTTGTGTAATTTGTATACTTTAAACGCAAATAATCTCACGGCTGACGCATTCCGCCTCCCGTGCAAGGGCCTGCTTAAATCTTGCCGTCAAAATCAATGTTTGGTATCTTGCACAAGAGCAAACTTGCAGAGATTTTGGCGGGGCACAGGCTGATGCACTCCCATTTCTCCCAGTGGGAGTTAGAAGTAGGCATATTGATCAAGACCGGGGAGTCTTTTGGTCTCCAATAAACTGATGTAAGAGCAACTGTCCGGGTATATTTATACCTTGTTGTTTTCCAGCACTGTTTTTTTTCTTACACACCACGACTTTTAATTCCACGACCGATCAATCAAATCCGTGGCACCGCGAGTCATTTCTCGGCATGTGATTCAACAAATGAGCCGAGAAAATCCACCACCCCCCTCAATTTCCGTCTCAGGCGAGCACCAACTTTTGCCGGTTGTGGAAAATTCTGATACCTGTCCAAAGCCGTTGCCACCGGACACTCGGAGAGGTGACAACCTCCACGTGCTCCAGAGCGTGTACAGCTTTACGTTCAGAAAGTCCGACCCATCGAGAAAGTCCGAGCAATTCTCCCGTCCAGCAACCAGCGTGCCCCACTACTGCATGGGTTTGGAGAATGGGTGATTGTACCAAGGTGATGGCGCTCTGTTTTTTTTTTTATAATGCTCTTTGAATGTCTGCTCAAACGTTACGACAAATAAAAACGTTACGTGGGAAATCGACGCGCGTCCTTGATGATTACCGTAATATTCTTGGTTCTTTCGGTAAAGTCACGTAGAAGGGAAATAATAAAATAATAGAAATATAAAACATTTCTATTTTTTTATATCCCTTCTCCGTGACTTTATCGAAAGAACAAAGAATATGAATCTCTGCAGTCACGAAAGCTTTAAATCAAGATTACCGTAATATTTTGGCACAGCCCCTAACACGCCATCAACGAACTTTAAACAACCCACACCCACCCAAGCGAACTCGCCCTTATCCATCCCAACACTCGCCCATATCCATCCCAACACTCGCCCATATCCATCGCAACACTCGCCCTTACCCATCCCCCACTCGCCCTTACCCATCCCAACACTCGCCCATAGCCATCCCCCACTCAATATCCATCTACTCGCCCTTATCCATCCCCCACTCGCCCATATCCATCTCCTACTCAATATCCATCTACTCGCCCATATCCATCCCCTACTCACCGATATACATCTACTCGCCCATATCCATCCCCTACTCCCCAAAATGCAGCCCCGACTCAACCATACAAAACCCCTACTTGCCAATGTACATCCCCTACTAATCCACACCCAACCAGCCACCCCTTACCCTACCCACTGCTCAACAACATCAACAGCTAATGTTCGCCACTCTGGCTCGGTGCACTTTGAGGCCACGTGAAGTGTCCGCGACTTGGGTTGACTGAGGGGCCGTCCATAAATGACGTCACGCACCTAGGGGGGTGGTGGGGGGGGTCAGACATTTATGACGATGTGTGACTAGGGGGGGGGGGGAGATTTGAGAAATGTGACGTCACATCAAAATGCGCAACTTTAAATAAATATAGACAACACGTTGCACTTAATAAAATAGACGTTTTAATAAATGTTTTCTCCTACAACATCAGAGTGCAGCGCCACATTAAATACGCACTACAATGACAATAGTTTAAAGAGATTTGAAGCATTGTTTTATTTTCAAAATGAAAATATGGTTTTGGGGGGGGGGGGCAGAGCTTTGTGACGTCATATTTAAGGGGGGGTCTGACTGACGCCGTGTGACGAGGGGGGGGGGGTCAAAAAATCGTCCAAAATCGCGTGACGTCATTTATAGACTGCCCCTGACGGTTATGACTGACAGATGCACCACGTGCTCCCCCCCCTGACTCCGCTATTTAGCGCCGCTCCTCTCAGCCCTCCGTGGTTGTCGTGAACGCGACTGCCCGGCCTGCACACTCGGCAAGCCAGCCACAGGTGAGCCAGCCACAGGTGAGCCAGCCACAGCCTCCACAGGTGAGCCAGCCACAGCCTCCACAGGTGAGCCAGCCACGGGCGAGCCAGCCACAGGTGAGCCAGCCACAGGTGAGCCAGCCACAGCCTCCACAGGCGAGCCAGCCACAGGCGATCCAGCCACCCGCCCCTTGTGCCCTCCCTCGCCCCGCACGCACCACGCGGCCCGGCTCCGGCGAGTCCGCGGGTCACGGTTGCGAGGGACGCGTCGGAGGAGGGAGGGAGGAGGAGGGAGGGAGGGAGGGCGAGAGGCGAACCCGGCACTCGCATTGCCTCCGCAGAGTCACCCGGAGCCAGCAGCAGGTGAGTATCACCCCGTCTACCCGTGCGGGATGTATAGTTATGACTCGAGGAAGCACGCCAATGTTGACAACGTTGGGCACTGTTGGCCCAGCTTTCCGCGTTGACTGGCGGTCTGTGTTGGCACCCTCCGCTGCGCGTTCTGCTGGCTGGCAGGCTCCATCAACGCCGGGGGGTCGGCTTCGTCTGCCACTCAGCCACCCACCTAGCCACCCAGCCACCTAGCCAGCCACCCAGCCACCCACCCACGCAGCCACCCAGCCAGTCACCCAGCCAGCCACCCACCCACGCAGCCACCCAGCCAGTCACCCAGCCACCCAGCCAGCCACCTAGCCACCCAGCCACCTAGCCAGCCACCTAGCTATCCACCCAGCCACCCAGCCACCCACCCAACCACCTAGCCACCCACCCAGCCACCCACCCAACCACCCAGCCACCTAGCCAGCCACCCAGCCACCTAGCCACCCAGCCACTTAGCCACCCACCCAGCCACCCACCCAACCACCCAGCCACCCCTCCATCCTCTTCGTGCCGTTCCCGTCGGACGGATTCGCCCTCCCAAGCTCCTCTGCCACATGCGGGGCGCCGGCGAGGAGGATGCCGAGAAGGCCGAGGCGGAGGAGGAGGAGGAGTGGTGGGGCGGCGGTGGCGGCGGCGGCGGCACCCCGCCGACCGCGCCGCCGCTGCTGGGGGTCGCGGTGGAGCGCCTGGCGCTGGCGATGCAGGGCGCGGGGCGCGACGCCGCTCGCGAGCGGCTCCTCGCGAAGAGCCCCGGGCGCATCGCCTGGCTCCGCGCGCTCATCGGCGCAGTGGCGTCGCCCGACACGAGGTGAGCGCGGCGGTGGGGGTGATGGTGGTGGTGGTGATGGTGGTGATGATGATGGTGGTGATGATGAGGATGGTGGTGGTGGTGGTGATGGTGGTGATGGTGATGATGGTGGTGGTGATGATGATGGTGGTGGTGGTGGTGGTGATGATGGTGGTGGTGGTGGTGATGGTGGTGGTGATGGTGGTGGTGATGGTGGTGGTGATGGTCGTGGTGGTGGTGGTGATGGTGGTGGTGATGGTGGTGGTGATAGTGGTGATGGTGGTGATGGTTATGGTGGTGGTGGTGATGATGGTGGTGGTGATGGTGGTGATGATGGTGGTGGTGGTGGTGGTGATGGTGGTGGTGGTGATGGTGGTGATGATGGTGATGGTGGTGGTGATGGTGGTGGTGATGGTGGTGGTGGTGATGGTGGTGATGGTGGTGGTGATGATGGTGGTGATTGTGGTGATGATGGTGGTGGTGGTGATGAGGGTGGTGATGGTGGTGGTGGTGGTAGTGATGGTGGTGGTGATGATGGTGGTGGTGGTGATGG